AGAAGAAGGATCCAGTGTTGCTCAGCCCAGAACCTGGCAGCCATGCCACTGTGCCAATGGACTGAGTCTTCATCTCCCTGAGTTGGAGGAATCAGCCCCCAGTCTGTGAAAGGGGTGACCTGGGGCTTGCAGTTGCTTTCATTTTCACAGGCTTGGATCTGGTCTTCTGACATAATAACATAGTTATGGAAAGTTCTAGACAATGGGTTCCTTGCTCACCAGATCTACTGACCAATAAGTTCTCTTGGGGAGTCATCCAAGGCAGTTTTTAGGAGTCACCCTCAGCATCCCATCTTTGGGTGTCACAGTGGGCAAAAGTTCAGAATGAATGGGTCAGAATGGGAGAGGGGATGGCCATTTGTGCCCTGGGGGCAGATTTGATAACATGGGACACAGGCCACAGAGAAAGCCAACAGCAGGTAGGAGAGTCAGCCCAGGGGGCTTTCATATGGAACAGAGTCAGGGTCCAATAAGATCATGTGATGGGAGGAAGCTGGAGAAACATATTGAGGTTCAACATGAGAGCTTTTTCCAAATTCAATGCTTTTCAAAGATGCAAGCATATGAATTTCTGGCACCAGAGAGATGTCCCAGTGCAGAATGAAGGAACATTTGGCAAGGATGTAGTTAAAGGGGATGAGCAAAAAAAAATCAGATGAGGCCAGGACAGTCAACTGGGGGCCATCCCACCTATGCTCCTGAAAAGGGGTGTTTCGCAAACCCCAGATATTTTGGTTGTTACAATTCATGGGTGCTACTGGCCCCTGGTGGGTGGAGGCTGGGATGCTACTCAACACTCATACACAGGATGACCCTCCCAACCAAGACTCACACAGCCCCAGTGAGCAAGCCCAAGGTTGAGAAACCCTGGATTAGAGATACTATGTACTGCAACCCAGGGTGGCTGCCTCACCCAACCTGGATGCTCAGAGGACTGTGGACGGCAATCTTGTGGAGAAGATCTAGATTTCAAGGAGAATTATGCAACATGATACTCACACAGATGTGTCTGACACGTTTGCAGCTTCAGACATCATGGGCTGTATTTTGAGACACAAGCCATTCCTGCTGCAACCCACACCACAAGCCTGTTATTATCCATAAGGCAAACTATATGTTCCCACCACTTCTGCCTGCTTCCACAATTAGGTGAGGTGCCCCAGTCTTAAGGTAGGACAGATTAGAGGGTGGAGAACAGAGGCAAGCAAGAAACAAGAGAAATCTACAATGACAATTCCCCACAAGGTCATCACAAGGTCTTTAAAAATCCCTGATATATCACTTCTATGCTCGTCTTCTTATATGCTTGCTGTGGCTCTTGGGTGTGAGATTTGTCAGACTTCAACAAAGTCCAAACACAATTTACTGCAATCAGAGTTCAAAATCAAACAGGTCTGAGGTTGGATCTAGGCTCTGCCAATTGCCAGCTGGAGCAGTGGGGCAGCTATTTCACCTTCTTCCGTCTCAGCTTCCTCATCTACAACATGGGGTAAAGAACCCTGACCTTAGAGTACAATCATGACAATCACTTGAGCGCATGCACATGATGTTCCCACATAGCCCCCAGTGTGCAAAAGCTCCTCACTATGTGGCAGTATACACAGACTGATCACCTCCTGGGGTTTCTTAAGTAGCTCATATTGTACATTTGGGCATTAAGAAAGAAAAGTATGCGGTCTTGAGCTGGTGCTGTGGCACAGCATGAAAAGCTGTTAGCTTCAACACTAGCTTCCTGTATAACCACTGGTTCCTGTCCCAGCTGCTTCGCTTCCCATCCAGCTCCCTGCTAATGCACCTGGGAAAGCCGTGGAAGGTGGACCAGGTGCTTGGGCCCCTGGCACCCATGTAGGAGACCTGGATGGAGTTCCTGGCTGTTGGCTTTTACCTGGCTCAGTCCTGGATGAACCAGCAGATGGAAGATCATATTCTCTCTCTGTAGCTAGGCCTTTCAAATGATCACATAAATCTTAGGAAAGATACCATCTTGAAACTTGCAATCTGGCACCTATGTTATGGCCCAGCACATTAAGCGGCACCTGTGTGGCTGGCATCCTTTATGGGTACTACTTCTAGCTCTGACTGATCCAGTTCCCTTCTAATGTGCCTAGGAAAGTAGTGGTGGATGACCCAAGTACTTGGACTCGTGCATCCACACAAGGGGCCCAGGAGAAAGGCTCCCAACATTGGCCTGGTCCAATTCTGGCCACTGTGGCCAGTTAGGGAGTGAATCATTAGATGAAAGCCTTCACTGGCACCATCCTATAAAAAATATCCCTTCCCCCTAGGATATAAAGACACTTTAAAAACTTCATGAAAATTCCTATTGATAAAAAATAAATCTACTAATTCTAAGCCTTTTTGGCACCAAAATCAATTTATCATTTAATTCCATTTTGTCCTTGAATGTTTTGAAGTATGACTCTCCAAGTACCTGAGTTTGGTCTGGCAGTTTCTTGCTTCTCTGTCAAATACAATCGACCCCATCCTCCAACACGGATGCAATTAGATCATGTGTGTAGCTGACCCATAAGACTACAATCTTCAGTGAAGGAAGCAGTACATTGATTTCCATTCAAATTCAGGGTCTTTATTTTATTATTTACTTAATTTTTTTGTGGACAGCCCTGAAGTAGGGCTGCACTAGGCTAAGGTAGAGGCACAAGATGACAGAGACCCAGGTTCTTAGGAAGATATTTATTTTCAACTAATTGAAATGCATAGAGGTGGTGAAGGAAAGAGGGAAAGGGGGATGGAGGGAGAGGAAGGGAGGGGGAGAGAGAGAGAGAGAAAAAGAAAGAAAGGTTTTCCATCTGTTGGTTCATTCCCCAAATGCTTACAGCCCCCGAGGTTGGGCAAGGCAGGAGTAAAGAGCCAGAAACTCCATGTAGGTCATTCACATAGGTGGCAGGGACAAAAGTACTAGGACCATCTCCTGCTGCTTTCCCAGGCACTTCAGCAGGAATCTGGACTAGAAGCAGAGTAGCAGAGGCTGGGATGTCTCAAGTCACTAGGATGCAGTGGTTCAATGCTACACTCCATGCCCACCATATGGGCAGGCAGCAGCCTCTAGTTTTCTCCAGTTAGGGACTAGCCTCAGCCTACTAGACAGGCAGGACAGTGGACCTGTTTTCTTCAGTTTATTCCTTCCTTCATGCCTAGGACTTCATGCCAAAAATTGTGGAAGCAGGACTGAACAAGACTAACAGAGATTGCCTTCTGGGGTGCCAAAGAAAGTTATGGGGTCCAGCTGTAGTCTAGGGTTAGAGAGCCTGTTGGCTCGGGAATCTAGAACAAGAACAGAGTTGAACAGTGGGACCCAGGTACCAGGTACCTTATGGCCTGGATTGGTAAAAGAGCCATGCTTTCCATAGAACCTTTCCTGTGCTTGAATGTCCTTATGGTGATTTGCCCTCAGCCTCATACAGGAGGAAACTTAAGTGCAAAGATTCTCACATCATTGACTGGGCTAAGAGAAAGGGCATTTTTTTTTTTTTTTTTTACAACTTTACATTGAGAGTTAAGGCATTCTGACCTGCACATCCTGTGGGCAAACTGTTCCGTCGCCCAGTGCTCCTGGAACATCGCTATGATGCACTCTGCAGGCAGACAGTGGAACAGGTCTGTGTCCCAGTGAGCTCACTGAGGGGGAGGGGCTTTTTACCTGCCAGACACCTGCAGACTGGGGACGGAACACAGACGCTGGGAGCGCAGAAGGGCAGAGTCAGGCCAGTTGCAGACTTTTTCCCTTTGGATTTTGACTTATATCATTACCTTGAGTTAGTATTGATATTTCTTTAGCTGCTAACACTAAGCTTAAAATTCCAAATAAGATTTTTCCTTGGAGTCAAGTTGTAAGGGTGAAAGCACACAACAAGTGCAAGAATACTCAGTTATGAATGTGTGATCCCTTAGGAAAAGCACAAATCTGTTGAACTGACAGATACTCGGGCAGAAAAGCACACATTGTCAAGTTCATCAGTGGATTGGCAGGAAGTACCAAGGCCCTGACGGTGGTGGGCGGGGATTCCCCGCGCAGGGTGCGAATAGATCTCACCTACTCCAAACACTACCACACAGCCAGCTCTGGCAGCCGCAACGTGGGCAACACCATCCTACCCGCTTCTATTTATTGTTACTCTGCTGTGGTGCCCACCCCCTCTATATCCGTAGCATTTGGGACCTCAGGGATTTGGCTGGTGACCATTGCAAGGCGCAAAAGATGGCAGGCTTTGAACAACCTTAAGACTGTATCTGTTGCGGTTTGGGGGCGGCGGGAGCTCCTTGGTAGAGGTAGCCTGAAGACATGGACACAAACGCAACTCTCCCCTCTAGTATGCAGAAGCAATAGGGTTATACAAAGAACCGGCTCCAATCCCGCCATCAGCAAACCCATGGGCCTGGGGAAACTGTGGCCAGGCGGAGCCACCGGAGCCACCGCCAAGAGCGCTGCTGGTGGTGGTGCTGAAGGGGATCCAGGAGGCTGGGACTACGACGGGGAGAGAGACCAACAGGGAGAGGAACCCTGAAGAGGAAAGTCCTGCACTGGCAGGTGGTTGCCAGATTCATCCGCTCCAGTCCACCCGGCCCCAAAGCTTCGTTGGCGCTCAGCCCCGAGCTCAGGGGCTTTGCCTCCTAAAGGCAGGAGTGCGGGTGGCGCTGGGTGAGCCTGCGGTAAGCGCTTGCTGCAAGATGTGGAAGGCGTCCAGGGTGTGAGTAGGGGACAGGGCTACAGGAGGGGGCATGTTCCGGTCTTCCAGCATCCCAGCGCCGCCGGGCTGGCGATAGGGAGACGTCAGAGCGCTCCTGACCACGCGCGCTGGCAAAGCCTCCCGCCCCCCTCACCCAGACTCCTGTATAAAGTCGGGGTCCTCTTGGAGGCTGAGCCAGCAGCAGCGAGCTCATCCCAAGTCCGGCTGCTCCGCTTGGGAGAGCGCACTGCGCCCACTCTCACTCAGCCTCGCCCAACCTAGCACAGCCTCCAAGGACTTCCTGCAGGGACCATGCGAAGCTGCGAGCTCCCGCTTGTCCTGCTGGCGCTGGTGCTCTGCCAGGCGCCCCCAGGGGCAGCGGCCCCGGTGTCAGCTGGTGGAGGCACTGTGCTGGCCAAGATGTACCCGCGCGGCAATCACTGGGCGGTGGGTGAGTGTCTTAACCGTGGAAGACGGTTGGAGCGGCCGGGAGGGGGAACCTGTCAACTCCAGGAGCAAATCGCCTTCCCACCACCCACCCAGTCCTTTCTTTGAACAACTTTGGGGAGCAGAGTTTCCCAGTGTGCATCTTGGAACCCTGACTCAGCTGGTCATTGCGCTGGGATCCAGGCTGCGCCCCGCAAAGCCACAGGTGTGGGGATCTCGGGAGTTGTGCGGGTTTCTAATGGGTTCCATAAAGGCGCCTCTGCTTGTTTTTCTCAGCATCTTTACCGCGATTCCCCAACCACTGCCCTCTTTCCTGGTTTTCCCTTTCTGCAGCCAGCAGATTCAGGCTCGGAATGGCACCTGCTCTCCAAGCCCACCTGGGCCCTTTCTTCACCTCCCGCTCTTTGTAGGTCTCCAGCTCCACAGACTTTGCCCTCTGCCCCAGCTCCCCCTTCCCCCCCCCCCAACTAGTCCCACTCTTACGCATAAGCATAGAAGTTCCCTAGTGTTGGCCACGGCAACCCCAAAGGGGTACATGGAGCTCGCACGCACCCGAGAGGCGAGCTGCAGCTTCACTTTGCAACACCTGGGAGCTTCTGGTCTTACCACAGGCACTCTCAAACGCAAAAAGCCTCCCACTTCCTCAGAAACCCCCTCACCTCCAACACCCATCGCCCCGACATTTCCTGGGGAACTGAGAGGTTGTGTAGCTGTCTTCTTCACCATCTATTTAGGGAGGGAGGAGGTATGGGCAAGGTGCTTAACAATTCAATTCACCCAGAGTCTTGTTGCCCTGCCATTCAAAACGGGTGGAGAGAGGAGTGAGGGAAGGGGTGAGGCTGGAACTGTGATGTTTGTGCTTTTGTCAAATGAATGGTGAGCTCTGGGCCACGGAGGAGTCCCTGTTGTTGGCAAACGAACCTTTGGCAAGTACTTCACAGCTGCAGGCAGGAGAGGTTATGTGTGGTCTCAGGACAGCGGGAACCCGGAAGTCCCGTGTGCCAGGGAGAAGTTGAAAGCAAAGAAACCCTGCATTTCAGGAATGAAGACCATTTAGAAGGTGCTAAAGAGTGGGAACCCTGAATTTAAATTTCTTCAAAAGAGCTGAAATTATTAGGGGGAGCATTGTCTGGTCCAGCCACCAGTCAGGCTGATTAGGTAAGCCTTGCGGAGGGAAAGGTGGCCAGAAGAGCTGGCTGGGAAGCCAGCCTCTGGTCATTGCTGGTATGGGCTGGGTCAGCCCGGATCTGTGCCAGCTCTGTTATCCCAGCTCTGAAGGGCACCGCCATTTTGGCACCTGTCACAGTGCCACTTGAGCATTCTTAATTCTGAAATACCTTGCCCAGTGGCAATTCCAAATGCCATTTTCTGATTTGTTCTCAAATGGACTTGTCCCCTTTTTCTCCCTTTACTGGTTATGCAGAGTTGAGGACGGGGGTGGGGGAGAAAAGTTAGAAAATTGCATTTCAGCCTAGAATCACATTGTGAATGAGGGGACAATTTGTTTTGAGAAACCCAGGGACCTCGGGTCTGTCACGTGCTTCGATTTTAGCTTTCACTTATCTCCATTAAGAATGTCTGTTCCCTCCAATCACCAAATACATGCGGTTTTATTTTAATTATATAACATCAAAGCTAAACGTTGCCCCCACAAGGAAACCGTCAGCACACATCTGCAGGCTTGTAAGGGAATTGCTTCTTCCAGCAATCGGGAAGCATGGTGCAGCAAGGAAAACAAGTTAACAGCTTGAACACTTACATTTTCATGTGGCCTGATGTTCATGGAAATGTTTTGTCTGTGAGATAACATGGATCAACAGACATTGGTGACTGGTTCCTCCACTCCCATGAAATGCCGTGGCTTGTGCCCGTGGCTTGAAATGAGGCTGGTCCCAGAAGACTGAGCATGGAAACACCAGTGTGGAGACACAAAGTACAGTTCAGGTCAAGTGCAGCTTACAAGTACCTACCACTTTCATCCATGCCTTAATGTGCATATTCTCAAGTTAGCAACTTTAAGTTTTGACTTAAAAAAAATTTTAGTGTTGTTTCAAACTTGCCCCTTAGGGTATCTTAGATGATAAAAGGGAACAAATGATTTCTTTCTCTGAGTAACATTTCGTTTTTTTCCAAGTGCCTGTCATTTGTCTATGCTGAGATCTCCATAATTATGAAATGGACATGTGACAAATGATGACAAGCAAAGAGGTGGAAGTGGGCAGATCATCCATGTTGCCATGGAGACAGTGACTTGGTTGACAGTAGCCAACTCAAAAGTGAAACAGGACCCAGAGAATTTGTGTTCTCTTAGCCATTAGTCTGAGGACCTAGGGTTGGGGATATAGGGGTTGAAGTTCAATGTCATTACAATTTGTGTGAATCAACTGCAGAATGGAGATTTTATCTGCCCTCTTTAGGGAGGTCCATGAAGTCATTCATGACAAAAAGGAAGTTGGTATTTGTAGATTAACACCCACCTCCTACACACACATGCACACACCCCTCTCTGTTTCGTTGCCAATAACTCCTGCCTCATTTCCAGATTCCTCCCTAGACGATAGGCAATTAGGGGAGGCTAGAGTAACTGAGGTAGTTACAGGGAGCATCCGGGTGCCATTTCTGCCTTCTAATCATCAGGATTCAAATTCCTCTGCAGAACTAAATCTGAATGCATCAGTGCTTCCTGGGGAGTTAGGCAACATAATCACTGTTGGGGATGAAGCGGAGATTATTTAGTAGATATCTAGGCACCAAGTTGACCCAGCAAATAGGAGCCAATCATTCAGGATTTTAATTTATCACTTGGCAGCATATCTTCAATAGGAAATGGTGTTAAGTGTCACATCATCAAATGATTTGACAAATACAATGCGATGCCATAAAACTTCACTGTAAATCTCCCCCAAATCTCAGAGAATTAATTTCTCTGTCTCATAATGAGTTGTGTTGCACTAACACATGATGGCTGTTCCTTTCTATGATAGTAGAAAACCATCTGTAGACCTTACGCTCTTCTCTCAAGTGAGTTATAGCTACCTCATAGTATTGGAAATTTTAAAAACCACTGCAAAACAGTAGAGTCCACCTTGTGAGCTGTTTCTCATTCTAGAGCCTTTGCTTACTTTTGTGTGATTCCTGACAAGTCTCATTTCCACCAAACCTGCAATGGTGTGGCTCAAACAATCCACAGGTAAACATTCTGTAAACTAGTGAGTGCAATTCACATGACAATGAGCAGGCCTCGGTCAATGGCACTGCTCTTTCACTTCCAAGTGACTTTCTTTCAAATATTATTTATACAATGTTTGCCTTGGATGTTTACAATGATAACCCATATTTGAACTATAAAACCCACTTGCTTTAAAATACAAGTACCATGGTTTTATGACTGTAAGAAATTCTAAGGTTTTATAAAGCTCTATTGTGGAGAATTTGGGGAAAAAAATCAACCAAAGACAGTAAATACAAAGATTTCAGCAATGGGCTAACAAACATGATAATAATGCAGTCCTTGAATTAATTCTACACCCACGACTGTCCTTATATAATCTTAATTTACATACATAAGTTCCCAAGTTTTTAATGGTTTGGTCTCCTTAACAATAGCATTTATTCATTTAAAAGCAGGTACACAGTCTTTGAGCTATGACTACATCAGACAGCAAATTCTACATTTACGTGACTCGGAAGCATTAGTCAAAAGTTGTTTTCAACCTGTTTTTCACTACACTCAATAAATTGTAATTTCTAGGTGAAGTTTCCCAGGTTCAATCTCAGCTAGAGTTCTGAGAAAGTTTAAATGAAAAATTCCTTTGGTACATTTGTATTACATATAAAACTTTTTTTTTTAAACCACACAAAGGAAAGCAGCAAGACTTTTATGTTCAGAAGCAACTCAAAATTGGCTGGGGAAGATTTTTAAACTTCCTCTTTCAGCTGGAAATGGAAGGTGGTACACAGAATTGATGACAGAATTTAAGATTTGGAAGTTTCCTTAGCTGTAACTAGTCAATTGTGTTCATGTTATAGTTGAGGAAATGGAAGACTGCAGATACTCAATGACCTAGCACAGGTCAACTAGCTAGTAGTCGGTAGAGGTGCTGGAATCAAACTCGGGGTCTTGAACTGCAGTTCTGAGTTTGGTCTGGGACATTGCACGTTTTGAATAAGGCAGAATCTGTCACTTCTAAAGTAACTTGTAATAACCAAATGCTGTTTATTTTCCCTTTTTTTCTAATAGGAAGCAGCAGAAATGTAATTGGCATCTTTTTAAACTTCTCATTCATTTGTTCCCCTTGGTGAACTGTACTTTCTGGCATTATGGTTTGGTTTGGTTTTTCCAGGACACTTAATGGGGAAAAAGAGCACAGGAGAGTTGCCACACACCACTGAAGGAGACCACCTGAAGCAGCAGCTGAGGCAATCCATTCAGTGGGAAGAAGCTGCAAGGAATCTGCTGGGCCTCATAGAAGCAAAAGGAAATAAGAACCACGAGCCACTGGGCAATCTCCAGCCTATGTGGGATTCCAAGGAGAGCAACAATTTTGAAGACACAGGTTCAAAACACAAAGAAAGGTAACACACACATTCCCAAGAGGAGGGAGGGAGATATCTGCAGGGGGAGGGGGAGCTGGAAGGAGGAAATGTTTAATTAAGAATAAAATTGCTTTTGATGTGTATTAGTCAGACTTTCATGACAACAAAATATCTAAGAGAAATTGATGAAAACAGGGTTATTTTGGCTCATCATTTTGGAGATTCATAGTCCAAGATAGGGCAGGTCCCATTGGTTTGGCCACCTAGTGAGAGTGGAGTTTGGCAGTGGTGAAACACACATGGAGGAATGATCATAGAGACAGAAACCTAGAGAGGGGAAGGGAGAGAGGAAGGGAGGAAGACAGAGGGAGGGAGGGAGGGAGAGGAAGAAGGAGGGGAAGGAGGAGGAGAGGAGAGATGGATAGGTCCAACCCAGTGTTTACAACCAGCCCTCTTGGAAGAACTATCTTCCTAGACCATTCCTTCTAATGACCTGAGGGCCTCCCATAAGGCCCACCTCCTACTCTGGTTGGATCAAGTTTTAAACCTCTGAGTACCATGAACTTATAACTGGGGAAATTAAATGTCACATGATGTCAGGAGCCCTATCTTACTTAATCATAAATGATAGTTTCTGTAGGGGCTGTGAAAGCGAACACCAACACATTCTAAGCAAATTAATAAATAATTTCCATACTATCCTTTCTTTTGACCTGATAAGATTACTTTTTCCTATTAATATACCAAAAGGATACTATTTTTCAACTCCAGTTTGGGAATTTTATTAGGAATTATATTTATTTGTAATTGTGTGTTGGAGGAAATATTTTAAACTATCAGTTGTTACCAGGGATATTTCAACAGTGAGGTGACATCGTGTTTGAATAAACCCTCTATGGGTCTACAGATGTGTCTATTTTTGGTGAACATATGAAGAGCCTATTCATGTGTATTTTCAGAAGAAAGCAGTCCTGTTTGCCACCTAATGTGCAAACTAATGCTTCCCCATATTTGTTCCAAGACTATCTAGCTCTGGTTTCATATCAATATTTTGAAACTTGATGATCCTATGTGAGATCAAATGCACGATTATCCATCCCATCTATTATTTAAAGGGGATAGAGGGCAGCACACCAAATTGGCAATGTTTACAAAAATAGTAAGTAAGACAAAAAAAGAATAAAACCTGCAGGAAAAAAGCAAGACAGCTGGGAATGATGTGATTATAGCTAATAAAGGCCAATAATAATTACAATGGCGATAATAATAATGACCAGTTTCACTGAGAGTTTATCAACATCCAGATTCTAGGTTAAGTAGTTTATGTCCATTTTCTCAGTGTATGCTCATAGCAACCACAGAAGGATTCCATTATTCTCTCCATATCAGAGGAGCAGAAAGCAAAACAAGTCCTCAAGTTTTGCACTGGTAAATCCAGGACATACTTTGCTCTACATTCAGTGTCTTGCATGACACCTTCTGGAGGACAGTCCTCACTGACCTTAAACAGGAAGGATGCAAGATACAGCAGCAGATCCTGGTTCTCATTGCTCCCAACAACACATCCTACGACTTTTCTGCCAGCCAGCTTGGAGAGCTCTCTCCTTTACTCTTGCACAGCGGTTAACTCTTTGATTCATGATCTCTTTGCCCAGCTTCAGCCAGCCTCTCCAGAGGGAGGTTTTTATGTTTCAGTGTCTTTTTGTCTGCTAGGCATTTTCTATGTTAATGCACTGGGCATCTAGAAAGAAAATCTTTAGCAGCTTTCATTCAGAAAGACAACCTGTATTAACCAATTCAGAAATACCTTGTCCAAGGTGCTGAGACTGCCCACACCTGTGTTACAGGTGCTATGTGATCAGCCCCCCAGTTGGTTGACAGCATACACTGTCGGGGTTCTGTGGGCTTGTGACCGACTCCTCAGCTCCTAGGGGGCATGTATTTTCTTGGTCAAGCGCTTTATCAGAGTTCTGGCAGCTGGATGTCCAATAGCACCCTATTCCTCTGTTGAAAAGTAACAAAAAACACCCCCACAGAGCTATTGAAACTAAAGTTATAAACACTAAAACAGATTCATCCTTATCACTCATTCATAAAATACTTGCACATGATCATGGTTTATATGCCTCAGCTGCCTCACTGTAGAACCCAACAGCAATGTCCAGTTGGAGCTGCTTTCCTCTACTGCTCATCTTTGCAGCTTTCTTGAGAAATTCAATTATATTACTCAAGGATCAAAGCTCTCCTGCCCTATTGAGAGCTTATTCTGCAAATTTGAGGGGCGGGGTGTAAAAGGTGAGCTCCAGAAGGGTATGGGAGTGGCAGCATTATGTGATGGATCGAGTGGGCAGCCACCGGGAGTGACTGCCTAAAGACAGAGTGAGCTGAGAGGCCATGCTTTCATGATCAGGCCTTGCTTCTGTACTCTGTGTACTTGGCCTTGAAGTTAGAAAGCTCATCCTCTTTCGTTCCACCTCAAGTTAAATCACTAGCTCTTGCACACAGGGTCCTGTTCTTTTGGATACATTCCTCAGTGCTATGAGAAACAGGTGCAATGGTTTGTTTCATCTTTATGCAGACAAAAACAGTCCATCTCTCCTCCTGGCTTGGAAATTCCACCTCGAAGTATGTCATGAGGACAACCGAAAATATTTTACAATTAACTTCAAAAAGCAGAAGTAAATATCTTATTGAAGAAGAGGCAGTGCCAAGAGAATAATTCTATTAGAAGCTACATATCTCCCGGAGTTGGGGAGAAGCTTAATAACTTAATCAAGCATCACCAGAATTAGCAGGTGTTTTTCAGAGGCTGCAAGCCTTTTCTTAAAATTAAAAACTATCCACATATGCTCTCTGCTCCCATTTTCATAATAAAACAAAGTCTCGTGGCCAGCCCTCCCAATGCTAGAGTTAAAAACACTGAGCACTTCTCATGTGTCGATGACAGAGATATTTGCTTAATTCAGGGAAGATTTGTGTGAATCTGCACTGATCCAATCTTCCACATGCTGGCAGTCTCCAGGAGGCCAGCCACAGCTTTTCAAGGTTAACTGTGCTCCTGCTTTTTCTTACATCCTTCTGTTCTCACAAATCTTTTCATACTATTCTGACTCCATGGATTCTGTGCCTAGATCACCATCCTAGGCCTGGACCACCACCCTGGATGAGGCCATGTGCTGTTCTAAGTTTCAGGGTTATTTCTGCTCACTTATGTGTCCCCTTGGTCACATGGGCTTCTTCTCTTGTCTGTGAGTCTTGGGTTTTTCTTTTATTGAATAAACATGAAAAAAATCAGTGGAGAATGACCCACACAAGATAGTTATGGAAAGGAAGTAGATGCGCAATGTGTGTCCTTACTTGGATAGCACTTTTCTCACTGTCCCATCAAATCAGTCCAGAGAAGAGAAAGGTTTCATTTCTCAATATTTTAAGTTCTCCAAAGAAAGCTCCAAATACAGAAAAAGCAGTGTGCAGTTCCTAATGTCAGTGGGGATGAGAGTTTCTGCTGAAGCCTTCCTATAAGTAGCTCCTCCCCTCCCCTCCCTCCCCTCCCTCGGAGCTGCCTGCCTCCAGGTCCTTGGGGCACCTCAGTTGCATTTCACTCTCATTCCTTCCAGCTTCACTTCCACTCTCTTAAGCCAGACCTGCCATCCTCAGTCTTCCAAGCCCTTGAGAGAACTTCTCTGGAGCTCCTCCTCCCTCCACTGCACATCTCCACTGGTCCCTTGTAAGGCCTGTGACTTACATACATGGCAAGGTGCAGGATGGCATCTCCAGGCAGGTGGGAGGCCCCCAGATCACGGGGGAAAGCAAAGCTAATTGACATGTGTGGGAATCGAACCCCAGGCCCTGGGCTCATTACTACCTGGTTGAAAGACTGGAGCTGAGAGTAGGTTATCACCCACCTGGGAATAAGAGACGCTCTGTTATTAGAAACAAATGGCTGGTCTGGAAATTGAGGCAACTGAGCTGCCAGAGAATCGTGGGAAGAGAAATAAGCCCTAGTCAGGGGGGAAAGCGTTTTCTTCTCTCTGCCTCAGAGGTCTAAATGCGAACCAAGAAGCATTTTTGAATCATAACTATTCGTTCCCTTTCAGTCTTAGTTCAGCTGAGCAGAAGCCACAAAAAATAAATCACAGCAACTGTGGACCTGGCAAGAACCCCAAATTCCCTTTCCAAGTTGCCCACACTACTACCATTCAGTCCCCGGTTCTGGATGTGTCTGTGTGATTCAAAAACTAGCTCCAAGTGGTGTAACGAGACGCTGCCAAAGAAAGCCAGGCAAGAAGTAAAACTCCACGTTCCCTGCATCCCCCTACTTGCCTGTTACTCTACAAACAAGCTCCCAGTGATTGTACATTTGACTTCCAACATTTGTTCAAACATACCTGAGTTATAGTATCAGGATACATACTAATCTAATCTCACACATACCATCAAGCACAATAGTACAGAAGAGAAAAGTGGAGGTTACTTTCTGTCTTGGAGAATAGCCATAGCTCTCAAATACTAGGTGTGCAAAACCAGCTGGAGGCTTGCCAAAGACCTCCAGACCCCAGATTTTCCAGTTTGGATATGGGGTTCACCCAAGAATTGATCTGCCTAGCAAACACCCAAGTGGTGCTTGCATTTGTTGGGACTGGCCTGACTTCAAGGATTAGACTGCAGCATCTCTGTCTGCTGACCTTTTTCTCGTATCTTTTCAAGCTGGTAGAAATGCTGCACCAGGTTCTCACAGGAGTGGCAGGAAGACGCCCCTAGCTGAACGGACAATGGAAGCCTCCTTCAAGGGAGCAAAACCACACCCTTAAGAGACTGCGCCTCTGCAAGCAGCACTGCCACTGGATCATCAACAAGATCTGCTTTGTGCAAAATACTCAACTGTTCTAGTCTCTTTCGACCTTGACTCAATTCATGATTTATGAGCAGCATCTTCCGGTCTAAACTTGTTAGCTGTGAACAGTTGTCCAAAAAGAGTCTTCTGATAAATGCTTTTGACATCCAGGCTATGTGTTGATTAGAGTCAAGGCCCCAATCTGTTACTGTTCACAATAAAAGCTTAAACCCATTGTTCAAAGGGAACGTTGTACTCTTATTTCAATCCCAAAAGACAGGACAGTGTGGCCAAGGGTAGGAAACATCTCAGTGATGTGTTTGTGCCCTGACTAAGTCAGGCTGGATTTCCAGCCCCTCCCTTTGAAGACCCCTTAGAGATTTGTTGCAGTGACTGACAGCCTTTCTAGAGGCTACTGCTGGGAGCTCCTACACCCTCAGTGTTGCTATTGGATGGTGTTTTAGTTAAGGTTCTATAAAGAGGCAGAATGGAAAGGATGTATATACAGACTATGAAGGAGGACTTTTAGGTGAATCAGCTCACCTGACAGCTGAGCTGCTGCACAGCAGGTTGTCTGTAGGCTGGAGACTCTGGGATGGAAAGAACAAGTTCACTCCAAGCCCAAAGGTCCCTAGTCAGGGAAGCCCAACAGGCACTGGGTGCCAGCAAGAAGGTTGCTGGTATAAGTGTTGGAATCAAAAAGCCAGAGACTGCTGGCCAAGTTAAGTCAGGGACACCCCAGCTCTGAGTTGGAGACCAATTCACATTCTGTGTGAAGTGTCTGCAGATCCCCAACAAGCGCTTGGTGCACTTGCACTTAAAGGCAGGATATTCCTATCTAGTCCCTTCAACTTGTACACTAATCTCATTTGGAAACACCCTTACAGATACACCCAAAATAAGACTTCTCCAGCTATGGAGTCAAGCTGACAATTAAAATTAGCCATTACAGGTTCCCTTAGTTTGATCCGGTAGGTTGTTGGTGTTGCTGATACACTCCTCACCTCAGTCATGTAAACTAAGAATCACCATTCCCATTTAACAGATGGGAAACCAGAGGATCAAGAGATCACGTGATGTGCTCAAGGTATCATCGGAGGTGGGGCTGGAACCCAAACAGTTATCAGACTGTCTGCATTACTTTCTTGAAACCTCTCAGTATATTTAAGCCTAGCAAGTAAGCACCGTTTCTTCAAAATCCAGTGCCAATCTGGGCAGGGAAGCAGCCCCCTATGCCAGATTTAGCCAATTCCAAGGCAAAAGGGTAAGAGGGCTTGGATAACAACTTCCTTGGCCTTCAGAGAACAGTGGCCTGGAGGATCCTTGAGGCTCTCCAGTTCCATTTTTATCACAACATTTGCAATTGAACAGATTCTGCAGCTTCTTGCCATATGTTTAGATTTGTCTTCACTTAGGAAAATCACATTTGAAACCTTAAAGAGCTTTCTCTTGCTTCAGATTGGCAAAGAACCACAGAAGAGGTTACAGGTTCTTATTAATCGCCTCTAAAATTGTGTTGATTCACATCTTGCACGCAGGCAAGATCCAGGGACAGGAACTAGGCTTGCAGTGTCCTTCAGCCTTCCTCTCCCAGGCTCCTGTTCGCTGCCTTGGGGGCCTCTCAGGCCTCATTACCAGGAACTTGCACCTGGCCCATCAACCCAGAACTCTATGGCGCTAATATGGAAGGCATGAGTTCGCTCAGCAAGATTCGCCTTTGGAAAGGATACTCATTACGATAAAAAGAATCTCCCAGATCCTGGGGAAGTTTTCTCTTGCAGAAACCTTTCAGGCAAGGAGAAAAATGTTTATGGACACAAAACATGTGACTAGAATAAACCCACCTAGACTGTCCCCTGTGCCGGTCTCACAAGAAGCCCAGGCACTCTGTCTCAGCAGGAGTGGTCTTTTCTCCTGGTCTTGACTGAAAGATGACGCTCCTGACTCTCAGTGTTCCTCCGTACCAAGCCCAGCACAAATCTCAAAGCGCCCTTTACTTGCTGGAGCAACTTCCCCACCAGGACAACTTTCCTGTATTTGCTTGCCAGCGGCACTACATCACATATCTTCACGAGCCTATAGGGTCCAGTTCTTGCTTGCTGCAGATCACAGCAGCCACCTCAAGCAGTTTAAGTAGAAAGGAAGACATTTGTGAGTGGATAGTAGGCAAGCAAGAAACTGCTTCAACTTGCAACTTCAGTGCCCCAAGCCATACCTTTGGTGGGGTTGATGATACAGTGACTTTCAGAACTCTGCTGGATCGGAATCTCTGCCACTGCCTGGGCCACCACCTGCACCCACCACACCTCCCACCCATGGCTCATTTGCAGAGTCCAGATTGAAGGTGTCTGATTGGTGGATCCCCCATCACACACCTGTCTCCAGCTGTCACAGGACTGGGAAATGTAGCTTTTAGGATTCCATAAGAAAACCTGGAACTAAAGTCAGGGAATTCTATTACAAAAGAGAAGGTATTCAAAACATGTGAACAGTCTCCATAATATTTCTCCCCTCCCTCTGGCACCTCTCCAATCTCCCCCCTTGATGTCCACCCAATTCCAGTGTAGGGAACATTAGACCTCATCCGTCTGGGATTTGGTGAAACTTGGTCTCCACACAGCACACAGGCCAGGTGTGTGCCCACAGCAAGAAGAGACAATGGCTTTAAAGAGTTGCCAATAGCCAGAACTCCTTGTAGCAAAAACAGGATCTTAAGGAAGTATACAAAAGGGAAGAAAGCCTTAACAGCTTTCCAGTTTGTTCCTTTTAAAAACAGTCCTCTTCGTTGTTGCCATTAAGTGCAGCAGAGCTGTTTGCTCCGGATAATTTGGCAGTCTCTGCTTACGATCAGAGATTCAATGACCCACTGAACAGGCATTTCAAGCAGTGCAGAACAATTCCCAGCCTTAAAATGCCCACCTTTCAGCTCCTACTGAGGGTATTTGATCACTATAGAGCCTTTTTCCCAGCTGAGTTATATGGGGAGTCACTTGAGTAGAATGTGGGAATTGCATTTTTTACTTCTGCAGCCCTGGGGTTGCTTTCATCAGACCACGTGAAAGAACTCTTCCAAGGAAGTCCACACAACGAGCTACTGCTGCTGCCAAGGTTGAAGCAGCCATGTTCATCACATGCCAGGTTCCTAGCAAGAATCTCCAGGCTTTGTGTCTTCCAGCCAACCACCATAAACGAGACCCGGGTAAGCACTGGGTCTAGCAGTAAGATGCTTGCATTCTGTACGAAGGTGTCTGGGTTTGGATCCTCACTCCGCTTCCAATCCAGCTTCCTGCTCACATACACTGTGGAGGCAGCAATGATAGCTCAATACATGGGTCCCTGCTGCCCTTCCAGGGACCTGCATTGAGCTCTCATCTCCTGACTTTGACTAGGTCTGGCCATTGTGTGCAGGTGAGAAGTAAACGGTGGGTGGGAGTGCTCTCTCTCCTCTACTTTTCTCTTTTTGCCTTGCAACTAAATAGACTTCTTTTAAAAAGAAAATAAGACACCCCCCCCAACAAAAAAAACAGACAACTCATTCCTTGTTGGTTCATCCATGCTGTATAGCATTAGTCTGAAAGGCTCTCACACACTGGGCACCATGCACTCCAAATGGCTCATTCATGTTGTATAAAGTTCATTCTGAATTACACATACACACATAGTTATGTACCATCTGAACGGCTCATCCATGCTGTATAGCATGCAGTCTGAATGGCCTGGGAGAGAGCTGGTCAGTGCACTCAGACCGAGAGAACCACCTGATCAACAGCAAGGATACAACACGTGCAAAGGCCTCCCAGTCTCAAGAAAGAATGTCCAGGCTATTGTCCTTCCATCCTCTGATGTTGTGACTATTTACTCCCTTTCCAAGAAGGTTACCTGGATTACTTAAACTCGACGAGTATATTTTGGGCATGATAAATATGATCATATTTTTTAAAAATCCTGTTTCCCTATTTCATTAGCTCTGATTTTTTTAGTTTATTATTTCCAAATGAGATATTTCCTCCATTCACAACCCAAAACCCTTTCATTTGGGAACACAAGGCACTTTGGCTATCAGCTGTACCCATATTGATTAGAGATCATATTTATTAGAGATTGCATTGATTAGATTGCATTCTGATACATGAGGCCACACCTGAAATAAGAGAGAAGCTTCACTTTCTGTCATACCATTGGAAGCCTTGAGGCTGGCCATGCATCCACACGCAGAGCCACAATCTGTAATTTTCCCAAGTTTCCTTCTGTCATCATTCACAAGAGGGCTGCTACACTGCATCCAACGCACACCAAGCCTATTCAGGAACAACAAAGGTTACCAGGAAAAGCTGGGGTCTAGATTACCAAGGCAATGCTTTCTCAGGAATTCTCAGCCTTCGTGCTTTCAAGCGGTCATTACTGTCACAACACGGTGGCTGTTCTGACTCCACTTGTGAAGTAACCAAGAATGACAAGAAGCATGGTGACTGCCTGATGGCTTCCCCAGGGTGCCCTAGCTAGAGACCGGCACCTTGTCTCCACTAGTCTGGGGCTCAGACTTGAGTCCAAGTTGGACAGCCACAAGCCAGACTCAAGGGGACACTCACTGCTTCCAAATGAGCTCCTGGAGGCTGGAGGGAGAAAGGTGAAAAAAGTGCGGGAAATTACCCAACTCAAGTAGTCAGGAACTGGGCAGCTTCTTAAAAATTGGGTTTAATCTTGGAACTCTCAACATCAAGAGATGTCACACAGAAATTCAGGCGGCGAGTTTATCCAGGATCACCAAGAGGGGCTGCTGGGCCTGCTTCTCCAGGAGACGTCACTGCTAGTGCTCTGCATGCAGATGAGGCACACACACCTCCACTTTGTCACAGTCCCCGCCACACCCTAGTGTCTCCCTTGCCTGCTTCATTTGCTTCCATTAGCTGGCCATCCATTCTCAGCATTTGAATGAGAATGCGGGGCTCACTGGGGCCGTCTTCAGCTTTCCCACGA